CTGATTTTTGGCCAGCCAAGAAGTGACACGTGCAAAATGTGATGCTTACTTTGCTAAGCTTGTAGCAGCTTCATCAGATGAAGAAAGAAAGAAGATTTGAGTGAGCTTCTAATATCCATGGGCTACTTCACTGAGATTGAGCGGAAGTTCATGGTGTCTGGCCACTCTTTCTTGCCCTGTGATTGTGCATTATAGAGAAGAGGCGCAAAGTGTCCACACTCCACACCCCTGAAGATCTAACAGAGATGATTGTGCAGTCAAAGCAGCAGCATCCTTTTCGAGTCATGGAGATGAAGAATGAGGACTTCAGACTCAAGAACCCACCTGGCCTGCAAATGACATCTAAAATGTGATTTAAACTGACAGGTACTATTCAGATTTCCTGTAACTATCTCCTGTCATAGAAGTAATGAATGTGTCACAACAGGAATAAAGTAATTCTGACATTGTGTTGTTTTGCCAATCCAGCTGCTGATCCATGGAATCTCCACACCAAACAGACTCACAGCCTCTATGAGGGTTGGAAGTCATGGCTGATCACAAGGTCACGGAAAAGACAACCTCCTTCAGCTCCCTCCTTCAGCAGGGTCTACCCCAGAGCATATGAGAGTCTTCTGCCAGTGAACAAGGAGAAGCACCAAGCCCTCATGAGCATGCTCTCCTTACCTGCCTCCTACTGCACAGGCCTTTTACCAAGCATGTAAATGTGAAACCTAATGGACTTGGTTTACATGAGACATGTTGGTGTAAATATGTGCCTCCATTAAAGGACCCTGAAGGAGTTGTAGTGTAATGTACTGATTTACTGTAGTGTTTATACTGCAGCTTTAAGTTGACCTTTAAAGATACATGTTGAAGCAATGTATTCTGTGCACTGACAAGTCACACACTGGTTTATTATTTCATGTATTCCTATGACACACACATACACTCATTGAGCACTTAAGCATTGTGGTGGAGGAGTACCTAGGATTCACTGTGCATCATTTTTTTCAATAAATCTTCGCTCCAAAGATGTTGCGTTTTACATATTTATTGCTGATAAAACAAACAGTGAAACAACTTCCCAAAGTCTAAAAACAATTCCTTTTGCTAGTGTTGAGCGACCAAAAGCATCAAAGCGATCAAAGTGGTCAGCAAAAGTGAGACTTCCCCCCTCACCCTCTCAGTTCATTCATAAGAACCGCCCAGTGAAGAACAGCTGATTTTACTATTACCGCTGCTGACGTACCACCAACACCACGTGACACATCCTCGTAAGTGACCAAATATGACATGCAAAGAAACTTAATACAAAATACTACAATAACAATAGCTGGCACCTACAAGTGGGTAGGCTGGCTTCAAGGGAAGAACGGAGAGCCGTGACACCGTTATGTTCAGCCCAAGTGGGTAGGATTAAAGAAAAAAGGTGGAGACTCAGCAGAATCTTCACCAGCAATAAAAGCGAATGCACAAAGAAATTCCAGTCCTGCTCCGGAGCTTGACTCATTGAGTTGATGTGTTTCGTTGCCTGTGAGCACATTAAACTCAGTTGCACCTGATTCTACGTGTCTCCAGTGATTTTTTGACCTCTGAGTATTTGAGTTTTTGATATTTAATAGAAAACAAAGGAAGTTTGTTCGGGAAGTAGGGAACGAGGTTGCGAGCTTTCTGGCCCAGCTCCAGACCTTGAATTTTGCTTCTTCAGGGTATTTCATGGATATTTCAAATACAGTAGTCCTACGTTGATAAAAGAAAAAAAACAAAACGTTAACTGTCCCCTGTTGGCAAACATTGAGATGGACACATCTATGAGACAATAGTGTATTGTTAAAATTAATTGTAATCCTTTTTCGAGTCTCGATACCTTAGATGTTGTGTCCTTGCATAGTGGAAAACCAATTTAGCATTACTTGGCCTTGACCCCTATGTTTGTTATAGAGTAATTAAACCCATGGTCATTTTGTGTAGAAAGTTTCTTTTTACCAGACCATGAGTTTTTAAGGAGATGTAGTTTACCTTGACATGTTTCGACTGTCACTTCAGTCTTTTCAGAAGCGTCATCTGACGTGCGTCATGACGTGTCTTTGTCAGCTGGTAGTATCCCGGAGGCGTGACCAGCCTGGCAATCCGACAGATTTGCCAGGCTGCGTCGTCCCGGTCCATGACATGATTATTTCTTTTGCAGTGATCTGATATGGCTGATTTTAGGCTCACCTGCTCTGCTTTTTCTTTTTGTGATCTTGTGAGACGTCCTGTCGTTTCCTTTTCGTATTCTTTTTTATGTTCTGTTTTTCTTGTATTGAAGCTTCTTCCTGTTTCTCCTATGTATGTTTTTTTCACATGTTATGCATGGGATTTCGTATATTACGTTGCATTTTTTGTCCGTGTTGATCCTGTCTTTTGGGTGAACTAAAAGCTGGCGGAGTTTTGCTGCCCCATCAACCGGGATGAGGGGGCTTTCATGCTGTCGCACACCTGGGACTCTCTCCTCCAAAGAACACTGAGCAGCGGGGGCGTGACCAGCCTGGCAAATCTGTCAGATTGCCAGGCTGGTCACGCCTCCGGGATACTACCAGCTGATAAAGACACGTCATGACGCACGTCAGATGACGCTTCTGAAAAGACTGAAGTGACAGTCGAAACATGTCAAGGTAAACTCATTGTCTGGTAAAAAGAAACTTTCTACACTTAATCTATTTTGAGTAGACAAAATGAACCTAATTACACCATGGTGATTTTGCTGCCATAGTGGTTGATACATTCATCCTGCTGCTTATTCTGTTCCACCCCAATCTGTGATGTCAGAAAGCCTTTTTTTTTCTTAGACAGGCTTTGATAGTACTTCCAAAGTGCAGCAGGGTGAACACAGCAACCACTATGGCAGCAAAATCACCATTGGTTTAGTTGGTCTTTTAAACTTTGTTGTTTGTGTGTGTATGTGTGTGTGTGTGTGTGTTTGGATAGTGTGGGGGGGCAGGAGGTACAAAGATGTGCCAATAAATTGCAATAAATTATTTACCTGTTGTAATGTTAACTGCTCCATCTGTTTGCTTATTTACTGCACAGGACTTACACTTTTGTTCCACAAACTGTGATGGTCATTTGAAATATACTGTTTTTCTCATTCTATCAATGGAATCTCTTCCTGTTTCTTAGCCTTTATGAATTTAGCAAAAAATAAAAATTTAATGAAAAGATGTGAAGTGCATTGTGCATTTTACAGATTAAAAACTACAAGAATGTTTTTTTAAATTTTGTATTTATTGTTTTTCCACAATAGTGGCTATGGGTTTTATCAGTGAGACTGTGCAGAAAATTATAGGAGTTAGTAGGTCTGCGAAGGCTGTGTTATATCATGTAGTTCAATACAGTAGAATGAGTTATAGTCTTTTAGGTAAAGATTGGTTCAGCAATTTTATGGCACACCACCATCTCTGACTAAATGCCATTTTTTGTTAACAATTAAGTTCAGATTATAATTTTTTGCTCCTCAAAACTACACTTGCTGTCCTTTACATTTGCATGACTACCCTCATTTAACAGAGTTTTTAAAAATGGTTTCACCAAAGGCAAATTTAAAAAAAGATGCAGCATTATTAAGCTGGTTTTCTGTTGTTCAGGTTTGCTTTAAAGAAAGAAATAAGACTATTTGGAATAGGAAAATGTATTATTAGATTACTTTTTAAAAAAGGTAAATTGTTTTTTAAATTTTGCTAAAAAAATCAGATGGCTTAACTTACCCACTGACTCAGTTCCACTTACCCCTAACCTGGGGCAAGCTGAGCCACAGAAACCCTTCTTCTACCTTAGTCATATTTTCAGGACCTTTTGTCATAGATTAATTCTTATAATTTGATGGATAGGAGATATCTTGAAATAAGGGCAGATGTTTTCATTGTACTTCATTCTTATTTTTCCTTACCAAGAGGACAACACCAGTAAAAATTAGCTCATCTCACCCCACTCTCCCCTAATTCAAATGACACATTGCTGGATCACAACGAACAGTACAGCAAGGGACTGCATAACCTTTTCCCAGAAGATTTTCATTTCAGTGCAAGTCCATACCATATGATTAAAAGTACCTTTATCCTGTTTGCAATGCCAACAAAGATCAGTGTAAGAAACACCCATCCTATGCAATTCAACAGGAGTGAAAATGTTCTGTGTACAGAATTAGAATTAATCACTTTGTTCTTTACCGATTAGATGCTTTGTGAAGTGTTTTCCAGACACAACCCCACTCTTCACTCTCAAAGGATAAACCTAAATTGGTTTCCCAATTTCTTTTAACCTGGCTAACTCCGCTCGGACGCCCACGTCCGCGCTCCCTCCCTCCTCTGTTAAATGGTATCTCCCAGGCACATACGTCATCAAACCATGTGATGTTTGGTATTGCCGGATTCAGGAAGCTTTCTACTTTTCAAAAATGACATCGTTTTTCTTTTATCTCTTATGGATTTCGCACCAGAGCAGCCTAAACACACAAAGTCCAAAATCGCGATGAGTGGTGACAAGCCATGTCATGCCTTTCTCGAGGGGAAAAGATAAAGGATTACTCGCGATCTTATGCAGACCGGCGAGTGGGGACTTAGATCTTTTATAAAAGGTAAGGGTCTCACTCCTACCACTAGTTTGGGCTGAGATATACCGCCTAGAAAGTGGGATCATAACTTTCACGTTTCATATGGCTTTATTTGGTGATGTTTTATGGTTTTTCTGTGTCATAAACAACATCAGCTATCATAATCACGCCTGATTTCAATAAGGTACAATGTTTGAAGCTGGCTGAGTGTTGTTTGATCACCGATAGTACTGTTTTGAAGCGGAGTGAGCGCTCTTGTCATGTGGAGCTCCGCCTGGATCTTTTCATGGAAAAAAAACACTGTAGAATGGTCATACTTTGAGCAATTTTCTTCAAATTTGAAACAAATGTTCATTGATAGTGTGCCTACAGCCCCAAGGTGTCATTTACCTGCTCAGATGAAACCACAGACAGTTATTCATCCTGAAAATCATTTTTTATTTTATTTTAGGCAAAATCTTGCAACTTTGTCTTCCTGCCTAACTGTTAATTCTAGTTTAGTCTCAGTTTCTGTCATATTGGGTGCAGTTACAGAATCCCATAGATTTGGTCAGTTGTGATCCTATTTGCATATACAGTACTTTAGAAAGTCCTTATTCACAAAACTTTCACAGTAAATTACTGTTTTTTTGCAGTAAATTATTGTGAAATGACATCAATATACAGTGATCTCACAGTAGTTATACATACGACTGCGATAAAGCAGTAAAATTACTGTATTTAACTGTAACCTCACAGTTAAAACCCATTACATTACTGATATAACAGTACATTCTTGTAAATTACTGTATTTAACCGTAACTTCACAGTTTATGTACATTTGATTACTGTGATTTAGCAACATGCTAGCACAGAATTATTGTATTTCACTGTAATCTCACAGTTAAACTCCATATATTACTGTGATTAAGCAGTATGCTTCTGTAAAACTACTATATTTACCTGCATGAATTTTACAATACTATTCTGAATTTAGTTAAATATCACAGTAAAAGCCATTGAGGTCATAATAATGTAATTTATGGTGAAATATTACAGTTACATATTGTAAATTCCTGGAAATAATTTGCAGTGTAGAAATACTCACTGATAAAAGGAGCATTTGTTCACAATGGGAGAGAGATAGGTAGGGTTACTTCATGTCAACATAAAATTTGACAGGTAAGGTACCTTACAGTTACATATTGTAAATTCCTGGAAATAAGGTACCTTTCCCCGTTTTTTCACTACCCCTCCTACCGTTTACGTTTGAACCAATGAGCTATGGTTGAAGTCTTTCAAGAGACAAATAAATATTGCAGCTTTGCAGTGTTGGAGTATACAGAACTTGTGAAAAAGGAATTGAAGAGAACCAAGAGCTAGAAGAAAAGAAAAGTGGATTATAAGTCAGTAAAACTAATTTTAGTAGACATGTTGTTGGACCTGTCGAAACAGCAGTATAGCAGGTTTTTGCACAGTCTTCTCGACCGTACGAATGATGATACGATGTCTGATAAAGAAAATGAGGATTTTGATGTGACGACGTCTGATAAAGAGAATGAGGATGATGAAGTGACATCGTTCGAGACAGGGTATTGTTCGGAGGTAAAGGAGGAAGAGGAGGAGGATAGCAGAGAGAGTCCTCCTCTGGAAAAGCGTCCGAGGAGGGGAATTCAGTTTGACGACAATGAGTTGTCTAAGACGAGAACCATCTTGGCTGCATTGTGGCAATCCAAAACCACAGTCACAGGCAAATGGATGACTCAAGCCAGTGTGTGATCACAAAATATGGAAGGGAAGAGATCCGCCGACATTTTCGTTTTGGAGAGATTTAATCCTGACTGTGGGTTATTCCGAACCGTCTTAGTCATACCTGCGACAGAATGGCTCAACAGGATGCTGAAGGGAGAGGATTTCAAATTTTTTCTTGAGCTGCCGCAACTGGAGAGAATCTGTGGTGGTGAAAAAAACTCTAAACTTTTGACTAGAAAAAGAAAACTTCCCACGCCTTCCACATCCAAACCACACCTTCCGTTTCCAAACCAAAACTTCCGTTTCCATGCCACACCTCCCGTCTGGTATTATAAAGTCCTCTGTCTTGACCAAAGCAGTTGTAGAGATGGACAACGCAGGACAGAAGAAGTACTTCCCTTGTCCTTGTGCGCTCTTCCGTAGTGCTTCTTTTTCCGACTTCACCTACCTCGGTTCAATGGAATCTACATTACACACTCCGTATGAGGAGCGGCTGACTTCTGACGAGGCCGGGAAGGACAAGCTGACTTATGACATGGTTGGAAAGAAAGAGCAGACTTCTGCCATGGTTGGGGAGGACGAGCAGACTTCTGACATGGTTGGGGAGGACGAGCAGACTTCTGACATGGTTGGAGACAGGGCCGTCACAACCAGACAGGCAAACTAGGCAATTGCCTAGGGCCCCGAGCTGGAAGGGGCAACACAGAGATGGCTGACATCGGTCCATATCAATGACAATATGAATGGAACCCCTATAGACACTGCAGCAACGACAACACGTCGGTACCCCCCCTAATGGGCCCCCCCCCCCTACTTGCTGCTGCTTGCGAGTGGCTAGAGGGGGCCTCCAGGGGCTGCTGACATTTGGTCTGTAATCAACGACACAACTTGAAACCCCCTTAGAGACACTGCAACGACGACACGTCGGAGACCTCCCTAATGGGGCCCCTACAGCTGACTGAGCTGACTTACTGCTGCCGCTGCCGGTGCCGCTGCCGGTGCCGTGCGGGCTGTGGCAAAATGAAGCGAACGTATCCCTCAGGGCACGCTAAAAGAAAAAAAAAGCAAGAGGAGGATGAAAAGAAAAAACGAGACAGTGGTAAGTGAGAATGTGTTACAAGTAGTTTTTGCCACATGCCACTTTGTCCCAGTCCCACCAAGCATCAGAAAAGTTTAATGTTCAATGCACAACATGACAACAACACCCAGCTAACATTAGTTAGACAGTGAGTGGACCAGCTTGAAGCTTCTAAACTCTCATATCTCATATCTCATATCTGTTTGTTTGTTTGTTTGTTTGAACAGAAGAGGTGTATTATATGACATTAGCTGTGTTGCCATGGTTGTGTACACAGAACACTGTACCTGCAATAAGTTAGTGCCAACGACAATAGGTGGGTTTCCATCCACCTATTTTTATTCGCATTTTCAGAAATTGCGAAAAAAAAACTTGAATGGAAACGCCAGAAATTTGAAAAAAGTTTTTACGCTTGGAGGGGGTGGAAAAGTCAGCGTATCGATATTAGGAAAATGCGACTTTTGGCAATGGAAACAGATTTAGGGAATAAACAATGACGTAGGCTACCGAATCCTACTTCTACTTCACACACACATCTGTGTGAACTTAGAGAGAGGTAATTGTAACAGAGTTAATATACAGTATGTATGATCCCACTTGCCATGGCTCACACTGCTTTATTTTACTTTCTCTGCAACTGATTTATTTTATGGTCAGTGAACACAACACCCCTGCAGACTAGGGTCGTGTACCCCGGAAGATAGCGACACTTTGGCTGCGCTGTCTCCCTGGTAGGTGCACATGTTATCAGCTCCATAATTATTTTGTATTAATTATCTTAACTTTATATCTAAGGGGTAAGACTGGAGCTCCCGATCGGTTGAGCATGTCCTTCCGTAAAAGTTGACAGTGTTTTTAATTATTTGTGTGTAACGTGGTTAGCATAACTCAGGGTTTAGCTAACTTGCGCTCCTTTTTTATTTGATATTCCCAGTGTGAGAGCATGTGTACGAATGAAGCCAAGACCGACTGTGAAAATATTTCCTCTGCCAGGTACGCTTTTTGTGTATTTTATGTTCATTGTAAAAACTAAGTACACTTTGGCTGCGCTGTCTCCCTGTGTGAGAGCACGTGTACGATTGAGGCTAAGACTGACTGTGAAAATATTTCCTCTGCCAGATGCGGAAATAAACGGCGGGTGCCAACAGTGCTTCATGACTGATTTTTCTCGTGATTATACACAACACAAGAAAGAGAGAGTACACAACCGCTACATAATCACTCCAGTGTCAGGTGAGTGTAGGCTATTTCACAACTTACCTGAATAGACTGGATGTGTTGAATACCGCTGCATCATGTGCGCTGCCTGGTGTACCAACACAGACATCACGGCATTATGTAGGCTACGCTGACAACGCTGATATGAGTGTGATGAGAGCTCTCGCAATAGCCAAGAAGTTCCCAAGGAATCTCTCCATCTCGTCGTAGTCATAGATGTGCCGGTAATTGTTTACCAGTTGTGGACATGAGATGCCCTCAATGACGTCATCTCACGGCGCCCTCTTCTTCTACGGGTGTTCTTTTGCATTTTATTTTTCATGAGAAGCGCCACCTTCTGCTCGACCTGTTGACTCCCAATACTCGCAAAACAATAATGAATGGAAACGTGCATAAATTTGCATTTTCTTTTGCGCGTTTTCACAAAATTCGCTTAAAGGGATAGTTCGGGTTTTTGGACATGAAGTTGTGTGAAATGCTGACCATCTGTAGCTCTGATGTGACGGTGTCACTACTGACAACGAGCCTCCTGCTCTGAGAAATGGCCCGTAGCTTACCGGAGAAAAAGTAGTTCTGAAGATATAAGGGGGACACGTAACCAAAACGTTTTAAGCTACAAAAAAGTATGCATGTGTTTTGTTAGACTATTTCAATAAATTTAAAACATCCCCGCATTACGTCAGACCTTGCTATCAATTGGGACTATTTTCTGGCCAGTATCACTCCGCCGTGCAGGCCCGCAAGACAGCACGCCAACAGAAATCAATAAGACAGTTCATCACCATGCCGTGCAGGTGCACAGGATAGCAACAGCTAACGAAAACTTCATCGGCTGTTTCCAACAGAGAACCAGTAGGCTATTATTAGGGAGGAAATAGATGTACTAGCCCTATATATACCTACTACTACAGCGCGAACACCGGCTCAGGCTCACGACACATCCTCGTCAGCTGCTGTAGGTAAACAGAGGAATACCAAAATGGTGCAAACTTGTGATTTCCTCAGCTGTGGGAATAAAAACATCGCCGGCTCCCAGTTCCATCAGTTTCCTGTTACAGATGTAACCCGTAGGCAACTTTGGCTAACCCACCACCAGAACAAAGCAGAGACTGGTCGTAATCACATATGAATTCACATTTCTGTGTGACTGATTACTCTTGTCACAGATTTAGCAGTTAGCCTAATATAATAAACTAAATGCCGACGGTAAAACGAGGCCGCGTATAATGTACTCTCCACAACACAACAGGCTATTAGTTCAATCAAACATTTTGTTTTACAGACAATCAGCTACAGACATCGTTATATAGACTGGTATTAGGTAATATATCTCTCTTTGGGCACAGCAGTGCGGAAATTGCGTTTTCTCTGTCCGTCGGGATCTGTGGGCAGCTGAAGTGAGCTTGACATACGCGCAGTTGCTTCACCCTCGCCGGCTTGGTAGCGAGGTTCATCCCAATTGACACAAGCCAAAGTTGCCTATGGGTTACATCTGTAACAGGAAACCGATGGAATTGGGAGCCGGCGATGTTTTTATTCCCACAGCTGGGGAAATCACAAGTTCGCACCATTTTGGTATTCCTCTGTTTACCTACAGCAGCTGACGAGGGTGTGTCGTGAGCCTGAGCCGGTGTTCGCGCTGTAGTATAGGGCTGGTACATCTTCTTCCTCACTAATAATAGCCTACTGGTTCTCTGGTGGAAACAGCTGATGAAGTTTTCGTGGTGATGAACTATCTAATTGATTTCTGTTGGCGTGCTGTCTTGGTTACGTGTCCCCCCTTATATCTTCAGAACTACCTTTTCTTCGGTAAGCTACGGGCCATCTCTCAGAGCAGGAGGCTCGTTGACAGTAGTGACACCGTCACCTCAGAGCTACAGATGTTCAGCATTTCACACAACTTCATGTCCAAAAACCCGAACTATCCCTTTAAAATTTGCTATACAATTAGATGGAAACCCAGCTAATGTTAATTTCTCCCATTAGTAATGCATGTGTTGTCAAATGCTAACATTAATGAAACCAACATCAATTCTGCTGTCAGTTGAACATCTTATTCTGTCCAAACTGTAACTAATTTGTATTTAGAAGAGGAAGATATTATGTTAACATGAAGCACTGAAGTTGTTACTGTTGTTCATTAATTAATTCATACAGATCTTAAATGTTGAGTGTTTGTGAAGCACATACACACAGTTCTGTACTTGCATGAAAATATTAAAGCAAACTCACCAAATATAATTGAGCTCTTTTTTTTCTCAAGGTGCTTTGTTGAAATATTTTGGTCCACAGCAACAGCATACCTCTACAGTTGCCTCAACAGATGAAGGTAGGAGGAAGTTATTCTAAGTTCACAGTGACTTAAGAAATAAGAATAACTAAGAATAAGAATAATTTCATTGAGCCTCAGAGGGATCTGCTCTCCAGTTTAAGGCCCAATCCCAATTCCTATCTTAACCCTCAATCTTAATTCTCAAGCTCAACCCTCAATCTCACTAGCCCTCAATACCAAGTGTTAAGGGCTATCTTGTGACTTTAAAATGGGACACCCCTCAAAGGCAAATACGTCTTAAGACTGTCAGGGGCAGCAATATGCCAAAACTCTGTCCAGTCTGTCAGTTCAAAGAAGAAGAAATATATGTCATCAGTAGTTGTCGATAAAAAGACGTGATGAGTTGGGTTTTTTTTTCGAACACTTTATTTCAATTCTTGTACAAAACAAGCAGTGACAGACATGAACAGAACAAATATGCCAGGGTTAAGAGAAAAGAAAAAGAAATAAAATAAACAAATAAATAAAAAAGTTAAGCAGCTCAAACAATTAAATTGTTTACATATTTTCAGAGTCTTTATAGCTTTGGAGTTTTTGGAGTGCTGAATGGTTTCTAAGTATTGCTGCATTTCATGCATAAAAATTTTGAACAAGGATTTCTGTTACAAAATTTTCTCTTATGAATATGGAATTACGCTAAGATAATAAATAGATTAATGATATAGAATGGTTTTTTGTTCTGAAATGCTGACATCATAAAATCCAAACAGCAGATCTTTGTACAGTAGTGAAAATAGAACATAAATGTTGCAACGAATATACTCGACAAAATCTTTCCAAAAAGTGACAGTAGGCTATAGGGGCAACAAAACAAATGTACAGTTACCAAACAACAATCTTCGACAATGCCGTCTGCAGCTGTGCTGAGTTCATATTGAAACAGAATGCTTGATCACTAGGGGAACACTTGCCGTTGTGACTGAGAATGTTATGTTATGAATATGAACAGTTCACAAGTTACAAATTACTCACTCCCATAGTTTTTTTGGAGCCTGCTTGCTTTTTGTAAACTTGTCTTCATTGGTGGCCCTGAAATGAATCAGGGCTCGTGTTTTGTCTGGTGGCCCTGAAATGGAACAGAGATAACAACATTACTTTCTTTTATTTTTTACTTTTTTGGGCTACCTGTCAGATATTCGTTAAATTATTAGTTTAGTTTCATGTAGTATTGCAAGTATTATCACAATGAATACTGTAGTCAACATCCAGCAGAACTGGTGAGTGTTATCTGATGACTTTCATCCACGTTAACGTTTCACTCTTTGGGTTATAAGTTGATATTCAACCAAATAACCTGTACAACAACAACCGACGTAACTTATTCAGCGGAAAGTCACCAGATAATACGATCATTAACGTTAACCTGCAGCTGTAACGTTACCAGCTGCAGACTCTACGGCTACAGGAGATGACACCGTCCGGTCATGTTACAAAAATGTCGATGCAAAAATTTCACGTATATTAAAACAACTTAACAACTACATCATCACTGAGATAAATGACTGAATGACAGCGTCACTCCGTTATCAGAGAACCGGGGTTACGTGCAGCGGGGGCAGGCAAGCCGTCGCCCGCGACCAAAAATATGTGTGTTACGCTACAAAGAGGTCTATAGTCCATAAAATGACGTTAAACTAAGATAATGCAATGGTTATCATAATTTTAAAACAACTATTAACGAGGAAAATACTCACATTGATAACTCCGCTTCCTTACGCTTGTCGCCGCCATCTTGCATTGACTGAATCGTCTGTACTCAGCTGGGTTCGGCTGAGCTCGGCGGATGATACGCAAAGGATTCTGGGATAGCACTCACTACCAAGGGTGGTCCTGAAAAATCTTAAAAGTGAGGGCCATACAGCCCTTATTCTTGGCCCTCAACTCAATACTGAGAATCGGGACAGCACTAGCACTTCGCGGGAGCGCCGATTTTTGAGACTGAGGGTTAAGATAGGAATTGGGATTGGGCCTAAATCTGTCATGAGATTATTTAATTTAAAATGACTGCACAAATATTTGTCTTACACGATGAGTTATTGTATTTATTTTTGTATTTTGTTGTTATTGTTTTCTTTGAAAGGAAGCATGTTATGTGTTTTTGTTATTTAAATAATGTAAGGCAATTTTGCTTTGTTTGGGGGGGCTGGGTGGCTGGGGGGCTCCAAGGTGCCTCTTGCCTAGGGCCCCCAGAGGGTCTTGAAACAGCCCTGAATGTGTGCACGCATGACTCAGAGTTTGCTTACAGGTGCGCACATTCTCCCGCCAAGTTTATTTTTATAAATCACAACCTTTGCGTGCTAAGTGGCGTGCGCCACTTTCAAGTCCCGTTTTGTGCATAAGCAAGCTTTATAAATGAGGCCCCTGGTGATGAAACCGGCAGCAATAGGGGCGTGGGTAGCTTACAAATGATAAAACAGAGCTGTTTTTCCGTTTTTGTTGTCTGAAACAAAAAAACGAGAAAACCAAATTCAAATAACGGTCCGATTTTGGTTTCTTCCAATGCCTGTTTTCATCTTTCCTCTTGAAAAAAATGTGAAGAAAAGTAAGACAGGTCAGCTTCCCGGAAGTCCAAGTAAATATGGGCCTCTCAAAATAAAAGCCAAGAGAATACAATAGCCATTCTATAACATTAACATTATGCGAGCACATACCAGGGTAACATCCGAGGAAAAATACATTAATATAAATTAATAAATCAGACAATTTAATAAGTAAATAAATAAATGAATAAATATGCCAAAAAAATGGACCGATGGAAACAGGGATTGATTACATGTAGATTAATACTGTGCATTTGATTCATCTACATTGCATGAGTAAAGTCTTAGATTAATGATTTACATTTTTTGGTGTGTAGCAGGGCCCCTTTAAATTCCGGCCACTCTCATTTTGCCCTGCCTAGTCCTGTTATTTTACCTGGCTGGTCACCTCTCCCCCGGGCCTTGCCATATGAGGAAGACGCTGTAGCGTGAGTTGACTGTGCTGCCGTTTCCGGCAGCTTAAATACGGGGTGGGTTTTGCAATGAAAGAACGCTGTCTTCCTGCTAAGCTGGGTGCTGTGTTGCTGCCGTCGGTCCTCAGAACCTTTTCGCTGGTCTTGTACAATAATCCGCTGGTAGATGAGAGGTTGCATTCCCCTACCTGAGGTATGTTTACCCCTGATTGGTGTGGTTTGGTGAAGCACACAATTTCCTACATTAACTTATGTTTACAAACCTTAGGTAGCGCTTAGTCCCTGGGACTAAGTTTGTATGGGGTGCCGTTTGTAAAGTGGCTCACGCTGAAAATAACATCAACATTTTGCCACATCTAGCTTTAAACAATGTTTAAAAAAGTGTTGTGAATTTTTTAGCGTCTCCTTTTACCACATTTACAGCAATATTTGTTAACTTAGAAATATATTAAATAGTTAAATCTAAATATTAAATGTGGCACCTAAATGTTAAATCTAAATATTAAATCTAAATCTAAATCTAAATATTAACTCTAAATCTAAATGCTAAATCTAAATATTAATATAAATGTTGAATCTAAATGCTAAATCTAAATCTAAATCTAAATATTAAATCTAAATCTAAATGTTAAATCTAAATGCTAAATTTAAATCTAAATCTAAATCTAAATGTTAAATCTAAATGCTAAATCTAAATCTAAATGTTAAATGTTAAATCTAAATGTTCTGGGTGAAACTAAATATTTAGCTAATATGCAAATTCACACTGCGGTCACTGGAAGTACCAAAATAAAAGCTTGAGATGGTCAGACTGCGTTTATAGAATCAAATAACGAATTAAAACCAACTTATCGGGGGAAATGAACACTTGAACATACATTAGCGTGATAATAACTACCTAAAATAACAAGAAACGTGTTTGGAGAAATTTTATTTGATGTGTACTGTGAGTTCTTAGTGTCCCTTCGGAGGGAATCACCTTGTTGTTTACAAATACTTCCGGGTAGAAAACCAGCGGAGTTTAGCTACATATATATATATATATGAATATCTCACATTTTTCACGTCACTATATCACCGTTTAGACTAATCTGGTGTTTGTAAAGTCTATAAACACAATGATTGAACAAACATTACTATCACGTTCTGAAATTAATAACATGGTTATTGTAGATTAGAGGGGCTAACCGTTAGCTGTTAGCCCCGTTAGCGGTGTCTGTAATGACTCTTTAACTCTAAATGGTCCATGAAAAAAAAAAATTTTCCCAGCGGATGTCTTAGTTACAACATGATTGAGCTAACTGGAGCAGTTTCATGTCGTATCCGACAACGGGAGGCTTTTAACAGATGACGTCCTGATGTTAGCTTTGCTGCTGCTGCGGCCACTGACGCTTTCTAGACCTTGTGATTTCCCAAAACTGAATAAATACCACACATCGCAACACAAAACTGCTTTGCTAGCTCATACGGCGAGTTTGAACACATTTTCAAAAAGAAGTGTAACACCGCTGCAGCTGCAAAAGAGAGGGAGACGGCGTGGGAGAATGCGTAAGTTTTGTTTTTTTTTAAAGATTATTTTTATTGGCTTTTTGCCTTTATTGACAGGACAGAGGGTGAAATGAGGAGACAGAGAGAGAGAATGGGGACTGACATGCAGCAAAGGGCCGCGAGCCGGATTCGAACCCTTAGCCGCTGCGGCGAGGCAATGCCTCTATACATGGGGCGCCAGCACTATCCACTACGCTACCGACGCCCCAGAATGCGTAAGTTTAAATGTAGTCTTTGCAATCACAATAATATTACAGGGGAAAACTGCTTGAATGGTAGCCTATTAATTTATTTCATTTAGGTGCTATCCCGCAGGGGAGAAGCGCACTTGGCAGCAGCTTAGGATGAAATATAAAAACATTGTTCAAACAGGTAAGACCTCGGCATAATCTCATGGGGGTACCTCATTTTGATAATGTTTCACATTGTAAAGTAAATATTAAGTGGCTGTTTGACTGTGCAGTTGTTTTATCCCCAACATAATGCTGTTTTCACACACATAAATGTCTTCTCATCTATATCATGTTCTGTTAAATAATTAAGCCTATTTAAACTAACACACACTTCTACTCAGCCAACAGAAAGAAGGCAGATGCCCGTAAAATGAACACACTTTTCTGACCGCCCTGCATACAGTTGCCTTACTCAAGTGCTCAGCATCTCCGACATTGTACAAAAAACTTCCATTTGCAAAGAAACGCAGCGCAACACACAATATCTGCTGGGATGTGAGAGCATGATTACGATTGGTAATGTTGCAAATGTAAAGACGGATTAGGTTGTGTATGTAGATGATGGACTGTGACGTGAAACGGTACAGCTCAAAAAGATAATTGTGTGGAAATGCTAGAACATCTATGCGCAGTCTGATAACCATCTCCCGACGAATATTTAATTCTCTGCGCAGTAATGCTGCACCTTCATCCACGGCATCGTTATCAAAAGGACATGCCATGTTAGTGAAAAAAGTCACAACCTACTGTGCCTAATGGACTTCTAATATTCTGACAAAACTCGCCTGCTGACTGAATGAATGAGGAAATCAAATGGAGTGTGTGGCTCTGAAAGAGGGCGGAGACAGAGAGAAACTTGAGGTTCATTGAGAAAAACCTGGTCCCGACCAGGTTAGGTTCATAGAGTCTGTTACTACAGTAACTGACCGAGAGCTTAAGTTACCTCTCTCTCTGAAACAGGCTAGAGTTACCCCTCTTTCTCTGGTTTGAGTTACCTCCCTTTTTGAAACGGAAAACTCAGAGTTTCCATCATTTCAGGGTTAACAGACTCTGAGTTTTCACTAAACCTGCTTTGTGAAACGGACCCCAAATTTGAACGTAATTTTTATGTACAAAAATATTTAAAATATTGGCCAAATTATTATCCATTTACAACCTTGTTTTCCAATTAAAATATTCAGTACAGCATTCAAAATACACTTCAATTGTTGTCTTCCATTGTGAGAACATACAAATACCATTATCTTGGGTGTATTGTAATGTATATATTTAATGCGTTGTGTATGTCCCCCTTGTCCCTATTTTCCCATGAAAGAGTCCAACGTATTTCATTCAAGATACACTTTATTGTTGTCTCTCACAAATTCAAATTTCTCACAAATCACAAATTCAACTTATTTTGTCTATGCTTAATGTTGTGTTATGTTTGTTTAATGTCTTGTGTATGTTTAATATGTTTTTCTGGATGGAGCATGCTTATGATGTTCCCCAGCATATTTGATGACAGCATCCTCAATCCCCTCTTTAAATGTTTTCAGTACGGCCCCTGAAAAAGTTGGAAGACAAAATATGTTATCTCACTGTATGATACTTAATTTCAACACTAGGCGGCGCTGCTGTCAAAGCAGCTTCTCCATACTGACAAAAAATAATAATATAAAATTAATAAAATTGATAAAATTAATTTTCACCCATTTAGAAATTAGATATTTAAAATCTGATTACACAAGTGTGTTTACCAT